GTATTTCTTAAATTACTTATATGCATCGCCGATAGCTTTACCGATTGGAAAATTAATGTGCATAGACTGTATATTTCCATTTGGGAAGCAAACATGTCAAATTCGGTAAACACGATAATCTATATTTAGACTGATATGCAATTAGGCAACACTTATATTTCACATATATTTTGTAGGTTCCTTTTATTACGTTTGTACATAAGAAATAAATGGTTAAAAATGGTTTACAATGCTTTGGAATTTGCCCGCGAATATTGTGCGTCAACATTTGCGTCTCCAATATTTCACGATTTGTACGAATTGGAAGAGACGCGTGGACAAGCGATCTCAGGGTTTACAGCTATTGTAGGAAAGAAGTCCAAGATGCTTCCACAAACTATGGAGGATATAGCATCTGTTCTTAAAATTAATTTAAAATATATATATAAATTGACAAGTGAAGAAAGTACTTTGCATGTAAGAACTGACCAATAATATTCGAAGTGAAGAAAAATCGAAATGTGTTTGTCTAAAGCTCAATTTCTTTACTTTCAAACAACCTTTATCCAGGAGAGATCTCCTAGAATAGAATACGTAAATAATGTTATCTGTAACTAATCTTGAAATAAAGAAATTGAGCATAAATTAGATACAATAAATAATGTAATAGCATACATCAAATATTACACGTACTAATATTTAATGTTAATTATTTGTACATTGGTTAAGCTATATTTTTTAATTAGCCATGTACATATGTATAAAATGTTCTGTTATATACAGTGCCAGCGAACAGTCCCGGATCATTTGAATAATTACTGAATGATTCGAGATATAGGATCGAAATTATAGAGATACAATGGGATCATAAAATCTATCATTGAACCTCAAAAACACTCATCAATAAATATAGGGCTTCGGAGGGACCTCCCAATGATCTTGATATACGTTGACAAGGTAATGATCTTGAGGTATAAATTTTAACCGTTTGACCTTATTCATATATTAAAAAGTTTCGAACTAAAAAGTTTAAGAAATAATATCTCTCATTTGTTACATAAGCCAACAGCCGCACGATAAAATGATGATAAAAACACACTTTCGGAGTGTTTTTACTCGAAATGAAAGAATCTGACAAAAATAGCGGCGGTCGGTCTTGTGAACCGAATTACTAAGTGTAAAAGTTCATGATCTTACTGATTAAGATTTCTGTCTTTCTGACTCGCTTTAGAACTGTGTATACTGTCTATTCTTTTAACTGATTTAAAATTCAAACTTCTTTATGTATGAAGCCATCCACCTAAATATTCTCGGGGGAGTGGAGAGAAGGAGGCTAGAAAATCTTAAATGGCAATTGGGATCGAATGCAGGCACCCGAAAGGACATTTGAAAGGGCTTTTCGAGACAAGAACGACACGGACTGATCGAGGTCTCTAAGATTTTATTTCGCAAAGTTATGATTATTTGAACATTGTTATTCACATGTATTGGAATTGAAAGTTACAATACTGCCGGCATTTAGCATTACCATATCTGATTTCAAAATTTACTGTTTCTAAAAAACCGGCTTAATTAAAGATAAACCAAAAGTTGAGCGTGCGCTCGCGTACACGCAGCACACACACACACGCGCACACAAGAAATGTAATTCCTTCTTGTGAATAACAATTAATGTTCAAATAATCATAAACCTGCGAAATAAATCTTAGAGACCTCAATCAGTCCGCGTTATTCTCGTCTCGAAAACCCTCACACGACCTCATATGCCGTTTAAGATTTTGAAGCAACCTTCCCTCCTCTCCCTCATGAATGGTATAGTGGATATTTTTTGAGGTTCAATGATTGATTTATTGATTCCGTTGTATTAATTTCAATCCTATATTTCGAAACGTTCTGGAATTATTCAGGTAGCACGAGACTTTTGGACCAATCATTGTATATATTAGTAAAAAATAGATAAGTTTTCTTTTTCTTATATATTCTCTGTCCGTATATATAGGATAAATAAGATGAAAAATTATTTAGAACATTTACGCATTTTTTGTCAATAAAGAATTTGTGGTTATATTATGTAATTAATACACAATGTGTAAAAATGTATATACATTGGTACGTACTAATTATATAATTATTTGAACTATATGTATATATATGCGTATGTATTAATACACAATGTGTAATTATGTATACATTGGTAATATTGTTATGTACTAAATATATATATATTATATGAATATATACATACAGTTTATATAATTATATAACTATATTCAATTATATAACTATATTATAGTTTATATAATTATATTCACATAATAAAATAAACATTAACATCCAGTTTTCAAGACTCGATTAGGCTTTACACTTCCTATGATTTTAATTATATAACTATATATATATTTATATAAA